CCGGCCGGCCCAGGCGGGGCGCCGCCCCGGGACCCTCGGAGGGCTCTGGGCCGCCCCTCTCGGTGCTGAGGATGGCCCTGGAGAGTGCGAGGGCCCCGCGGCCCAGGCCTTGTCACTGGGGTGTAGGAAGCCGCAGGTCCCATTGACTGCAGCTGGCCATACCGCTGGGCGCTTTACCTTGGTTGTCGCATCTGACCCTCCCAGGTTCACCGGGGTAGGTAGTGCCGGTACGGCCCAGTGCAGGTACGGAAGCTGAGGCCCAGGGAGGCGGAGTCACCTGACCAAGGTTACGCACCTGCAAGGATCCTGCATTCCTGGATGATCTGGCCCCAGAGCCCCTGTGCCCGGCCAGAGCCCATTGCCACACTCGCTGTCCCTGCGTCCCCCAGGCCCAAACCGTGTATGCTGAGGATGACGATGGGCCAGAGCCCGGAAGCCCTGCGTTTAGTCTCCCTGATCCTCCCAGGAATTTAGCCAGGGATACGGATTTTCCCCGACTTTACAGATGGAGAAACTTAGAGCGGTTGGTGGCTTGGAAGTGACTAAGCTAATAGGAAGTAGAACTGGAATTCAAACTCCGATTTTTTTTTTTTTTCCAAAGCACACTTTTTCACCTACGAAGCAAGATAAACTCCCGTTTAGGGTTTATAATCCAGTAAGTCTACCCAGATGCTTAAAGATATCTAGAGAGTAGAAAAGTAAAATGGGCAGGGGGCAAGGAAATAATATCTGGTAATTACTGAGACTTTACTGTGTGCCAGTCATAGTTCTGAGGGTGTTGCACACATTATTCATTTTACTCTTACAGCCCTTTTAGGGGAGATACTGTTTTTATCCTTCCTTTAGATCTGAGGAGCACAGAGGCAAAGTTAGGATTTAAGTAAACACAGGTATGGGGGACTCCGGAGTCTGTGATTTTACTTCCATGATGTCTGATGAGAGTCCTCTGGCTGAAGGGATTTGCTTTCCAGGTTTCGTGCATGTTCTCATTCCATTTCAAGGACCACATGGGAACCGGCTTCCGTAGGTCTTCTACTCTGCAGCGCCCTGTAGTGTGAGCCACCTGTATCTGGTGCAAGGTGACCACCCGTCCCTGTGCATCCGAGATCGAGGGGTTGCTAAAACTGGGAAAGCCCCAGGCAAACCAGGAGAGCAGCTCTCTCCATTGGTCTGCCCTGCATTAAATGCTTATGGAGTACCAGAGTGGGCCCAGGGCCATGGCGATTCAGACAGGCCTGACACTTTGGGTGATTCGCTTTACCTCTCTTTTGCATTGAAATCAAACCCTCTGTTGTTAGGTACGACCTTTAACTCCGTGGAGGATACTAGTTGCGTTTCACCCGGTTTGACAGGTACGGAAACCGAAGTTCAGAGATGAAGCAGACTTAGAGGAATGGCAGCCCGGGGACTTTGCAACAATTTTGATTACTGACATTGTTTCCTTTCATTCATTCAGCAAGCCTTTTGAGCACAGACTACGGCACAGTCTCAGTTTTCCGTGATGGAGGTGACAGTAGTCAGGAACAATGATGTTTTTCTCCCTTATTATCATACCCTAGTATTAGGACATTGGCTCTGGGGGAGAGGCGGGCATCAATCGAATAGTCACACAAAAAACTGTAAAATTTCCAACTCTGATAAGAAGTGTGGAAAAAAAAAGTCTTTGGAAAATGAAGTCTGGACTAAGGTCTGTTACGTGATCAGAGAAGATGTGGTCTGTCGGGTCCCATAGGGAGGGGAAGAGAGGAAGCGAGATGTTCTAGAGAGAGTTTCTCCTGCAAAGAGTTGAGTGCATTTAACAAAAGGAAGGCCAGAACGGTAAGAATCTGGGGAGGAGAGTCGAACCTTGATGGTAGAACATTGAGACGGGTAGGCGGTGGCCAAAGCATGAAGGATTTTCTTTATGTCAGTAAGGCTGGCATGATAGGTGCGACATCTCGTAGATATGTCCAGAGCTGTGAACACCTGACAGGTCAGTCATACAACACGTTTCCCGCTGTCCCTCAGGAGAAAACATGCAGGCACGCCAGGCCTGAGAGCGAAATGTCACAGGGTGCCCTTGGAGTGTAACAAAAATCGTTTGCAATCTGGCGTCCTTCACATTTATAACACATTCCGTCCACTGGGTCATGACTGTGCTGGTGACAATGTTTAGCAAGACGATTTATCCTCCCATCTGCAGTTCTGCTGTCTAAGGCCTGGCGCTTGGCCACAAGGGGACCACAGCCTGCTGTGTGTCCATGGGCCCTTCTCCGGGGAGCCGTCTTTGACCTTCCTACCTGAAGGAGCCCCTTTCACTCCCCAGCCCCCAACACTTTCCACCCCATTTTACTGTCTCCATCCCGTGGATCACCATCTAGGAAAAAGCTTTGTCTTCGCCCATCTCCTCCACCAGAATGTAAGCTCGCCAGCATTCACGAGGGTGGGACCATGGCTCTGTTCACGGTGCCTGCCACACAGGAGACACTGAATTCTTACTAAATGAACACGTGCGTGAAAGGTGAATAGATTCTATATCATAGAGACTTGGGAGATACCCCGGTCGGGCTCCAGTGGATTTTCATTTTTATCTTGAATCTTGAGCAGTTATGTTTCCCTTAGGCCTAGATATTTTTCTTCTAGATCTGGAGCTTTTCTTCCTTCATGATGATTTTTGGTAAACGTTACTCAGGAAGTAAAGCACTTATAGTGAAAAGCGACTCCATCCGCAGGCTGTGCTAGGTGCTCAGTGTATCAGCCCTGCGAGATAGGGCTAGCTTCCCCATTTTACAGGTCACAAACCCGAGGCGGCTCCAGAGGATCTTGCACGATTGGCCGTGGTTCCTGCTCGCCCAGATTTGAATCCACTTTTAGGATCCCCAGCACTCTGTGCTGCCTCCAATACAGAGCAGCTCCTTCTTCCTTGAATTCTTATGGTCAGAACGACATAAAAGGTCAGAACTATCTGACTTCCTTTAAAGGAGTCATTCCTGAGCTTTGGGGGTGCTCATCCTTTTAAGAAGCTCGATGAGAGCTATGAAGACCCTTCCAGAAGAATGCACGTACATACCTGCCATTTCGCATGTAATTTCAGGGGGTAAACGGCTGTCTCAGTGTCCACAGACCCCCAGTTAGGAATTACCCCTCCCTGCCCAAACGAAGCTGCAGGCACTGTGGGAGTGTTCTAGATCAGTGGGATGGAAATGGAAGCCACCGCCGCTGCTAGTCGGGAAGGTGCAGACCCCTCCCTCCCTGCTGTGAGCAGCACCCCACCGGCGCGTGCCACCCACCAACGTTTAGCCTTGAACCCCGGTGAGAAAACCACCATCGAGGAAAGGCACTCCCACGTTTGGTGGGGCTGCAACAGGAAACGCCGTCTCTGATAGAGAGGAAGCAGGGGCCGAGTTCTCTCTACAGCTTTTCAGAAACCATATGCATGTGAGTCTGACCGGGCGTGATTCAGATTCACGTTCAGAAGCCGGGCATTCAGGCTCAGCTGTGCGTCTGGAAGCCTCGTGCTAGGTGCTTGCACGTGGATTACCCCATAAAGCCTCACGATGCCAACTCTGGTGTTCCCTGTGCCCTGTTTGCTTAGGGAATGGGTAGTCCTCGTGTCGCGAAATGACTTGAGTGCCAGCGCATCTGTATATGGACTTTGGTTTCTCTATGCAGTTCTTTGTTTCCCGACTTCCATATCGTAAATGTCACGCACATAATTGAACACTCATGTCATGTGTAAAGGATTGTTTTTAAATGCCCACTGGGTCTTTGACGACGGGCCAGGTACATGCACAACTGTTTATTGGATGATGAGAGCCTGGGTCGGGGTGGGTGGGATTCCAGGCGTCTGCCTTTGTATTCCTACCCCTGAGTGCCAACGTCTGGAGGAGTCAAAGCTGCGTGTCTTACGTCATTGGTCACGAGAGAGCAGGTGAAGGTAGGGGGGGGGGTGGTTATGTGCACCACTACTGTTATTAGCAAAAGGGCCAAAAATGGCCCTTGTTAAAACTACATGTGTATTTCTTTCCTCCTTTAAGTTATAACCGACTGCTCTTCCTATTTTATGAATGAGGGGAAACTGAGGAGCATCTGGTGTTTAACTGCTTTTCAGGCTGCAGAAGACGTCAACGTTACCTTTGAAGATCAGCAGAAGATCAACAAATTTGCACGGAATACAAGTAGAATCACAGAGCTGAAGGAAGAAATAGATGTAAAAAAGGTATTGAAAATATGTTTCTAATTTAAGAAAAATAAAAGTTCTTCATACTATCGCTTTTTAAAACTGAATTCTATAATTTGTAATTTTATCTCTGGATGCTGTCGCAGATGACACGATCCTCTCAGTTTAAGAAGAAAGACGTTGTTTAAGGGACGTGAGATGATGTAGAGGTGGATTGGGGTGTGACTCAAGGCTGAGGTTCAAGGAGCAGGTCCCAGAACCACATATCAGAGGACTTGGCTGGGGATGGAACGCTCTTGTCCCCACTGATCCCATTGAGGAAGCTGCCTCGTCAGATGTGGCTTGCTGCCACCGCCACCCCTGTCACCCCAAGCCCTCATGCCCATGGGCCAAGGTCCAGTTCAAGTGCATTTGATTGATGGAATTTAGTTATTATTTGCTTTCATCCTATCATCAAGCACAGCGGAGAACTGTAGGTTTGTTTTTTGTTTTTAATTCTCCCCTAAGAAAGCAGAATTCACAAAAAAAGTGAGAAACTGTCACAGTAGGAGACATTTCGAGTGGCACGGACACCGCTGTCCCCCACAGGGTGCTGGTAGCGATCTGGAACTATCCAGAGGACAATGTGTTAGCTCGCTCTTCAGTCCTTCCTTATGAAATGCCATCTAAATTTGTAAGAAAGTCTTATTTCAGTGTGATAATGCATTTGTGAAAGGCTCCCTCAGGGAGTTGGTGTCCCCAAATCAAAATTGGCTTTTAGTTTTTAACAGGGACTTTTGAACCCAGTTTTCATTGCCGTTTACTTTTGCATTTATAGAAACAACTCCAGAATTTGGAAGATGCTTGTGAGGACATCATGCTTGCAGATGATGACTGCTTAATGATGCCTTATCAGATCGGCGATGTTTTCATTAGCCATTCTCAAGAGGAAACGCAAGAAATGTTAGAAGAAGCAAAGGTATAGTGAAGTGTGACCCCGGGTGATGACTTCTAACTCTTAAACTGGGATTTGTGTCATTATAAAGAACACGTGACTATAGGT